ATAAACTAATAATTCAGACGAACTATGTCAAACGATTAGACTACTAATCTGATATCCTGTACTATTGAGATTGAGATTCCGGGGAAGTGTCCTACAGTCTAAGATGCTGTCAGATGTACGTACAGTCGTGTATGTGTCGCCAACATGTTCAACTACAACTAACAGATAAACAGCTTGCCGTCTCCGTTTAACGTTCGCACATTCCAGAAGGCAATACGGAACTTCTTTTGCTGATGAGACAACAGATATTATTAATTTGGGTATTCGGTATCTGAGCACAATGACACTTCAGATAACGATAACCAAAACAAGAGATAAACACGCAGCGACCAATTGAAACCATATGTGAGTTTAGTCTACGGGCGGTAATAGAACTACAGTAATCTACGACAATTCAACTGAATGCAACCGTATCATTCCACTGCAACGGCAGCAGTAAGATGGTATAAACTACATTAAAACAAACAATGTTATGGTAAGCATTCTCAGATAATTTCGTCCAAGCGAGCTGGGATCTCGTAAAATTCGTGCTGATGCTGGAATCATAGACACTTTCATACGACTCTGCTCTTGCAAATGTTATAACAGACATGCTTCGGGTGGAGGTGCCGCACTAAGCCACAGGCACTGTGCAAGGGTATGGGAGACGGCATTTATTCGGTACGTTGTCATTCATGCAAATACCACATGCAATTAGACATTCAGGAACATGTGATGCAAATCGTTTAACGGAAGATTACTATATCAAATCCGAGATAAGATTCATTATTTTTCGCAGGGGGTTCAAATCGCACGCTTCAAGCATGTAACTTTTAATCTTGGAGATTGAAACAGCGATTCAATTAGTTACGGAAAGAATTCATTAGTTCAAGAATACGTAAACTCCGTAGTTATTTGAACGACTTAAAAATAAGTAATGGGGTTGTTTTTCAAAAAGACAGCTGTCTGCACGGGCGGAGGGGGCGAGCTGCACTTTTAAATTTAAAAACTCTAAAATAGTCGAATTGCGGCTTCAAGAGCTTTACATAACTTACTTCTTCTAAATTAGTCAGAATTGCCTGAAGCAGTTAATCGGAGCTTTGACAAAGCGCTAACACGACAGACAAAAGCTTCTATTTGTGAACAAACTACGAAGCACTCTAGAAAACACAAATTCCACTTGTGGATTACTTGTGTAGACCACAAGGCACGGTCATCGCGGCAGAGAAAGTGCGGAGAGCACTAGCGGAGCAGGGAAATGATTCATGGTAAATCAATTAGCAGAAGGCAATGAACTCTGGAGGCACACCGAATATCACTAACATCTTGTGCATCAGGGAACATTTTTACTGGTACCTGTGAGCAGGTGACTTCAAAGCATTAAAGCGTTCTTTGGAAAAGATCTCGAGAATGAGTGGACTTCCATCTAATGATTTGCTATCAGGCGTAATAAACTTTGTGATTTCAGACTGTACACGCTTAGCACAGATCATCATCCATGATTACAATTCTATATCGCACGACAAATTTCTCCAATGCCTCTCACGCATCTCATCAACCAGGACCAGGTACGCGAATGCTTGCCAGCACAGAGCCGTACCGGACCGGAAGTGTATAATTTCTGCGTCGGCGCGTATTCCTAATTAAGTCAAATCCAAATGAAGTCAAGCCGTATTACCTAAATTTGCTCAATGTGACACAGTTCTTCTTTTCCTTTCCTGTTTGACCAAGTACACGGGCTTATAGTCAACTTATTATATTTCTCCATTGTCTGAACAGGTCAAGTACAATTATATATTCGGCGATGTGTACAATGTTCCTTTATTCAACTAATTGTGTAAATTTGTTTTGATTAAAAGTGGAATTCTGTAGCTATTCCATAAAAATCAATGAATTTCATTCTTTTACTCATCACGCTGCTCGAAACAACACCGCTGGATCCCTTTCCGGCAAAAGGTAACAATTTATTTGAAGCTTTTCATGGCCTGTCGAGAAACGATATTCACGTCTGCAGACTGGAAACAAAGTAATGAAGATCAACGAAGAGCGGCTCAGTCATTTCAAATTTGCAGCACCCTGTGTCCATGTGGGAAACATATCACCGAACTTCAAGTAATGCTGCTAAAATTCGACAAAGAAGGTGGAAAAGTCAGTTGGAAGAAAAAATGAAGTTTTAAAGTAGATCGTCCTTACACTTTCTGGCGCCCTTCTTTTTATGAAGTCAATCATGATGCGCTGATCTCAATTTCCATTACATCAGCCAGGAATGACTTATTTTAAAGGTAGAGGGCAGCGATGTGACATGCACAATGTCTAGTCTATTGTTTTCTTCTACAGAGAAACATCTATTTTCAACCTCAGCAGGAAACAAGGGAGTGAGCTGACCGGAGTTCGAACTCGGGAATTCTCGGTTCTGAGTCCGAAACTCGACTGAGCAACATAAAATACATACCATTAGTAGCAGCAGACCAAAACAACGAGACGGAGATCCTGCAGAACAAATGGAAAATCAGATCAATCTTCATATTTTTTGCATCGCGCTATCTCCTCTTTAATTTTCTCATTTTCTTTTCTAGTAGCTTACGAGATGGATCGCATTTTCAATGTACTCATCGAATCTTTTTTTCACAAGGCCGAAACAACAGAGCCTGCTTTCGATCAGTCATTTTGAAACCAATGCTACACCTAAAGTGCCTCTTATGAAAGTATTCTGGTTGCGGTCCTTGTTATTGACACCGTACGTCCATCTCAGCCTCCTGTTGAATTCAGCTATTGTTCGTGCCTCTTCAGAGTCGCCAAACATTCCGCCCGTACAAAAGTCCCGGCGTTCATATTGTTCAATACACGTTCTCGTTTAATTCGACGGATATATTCTTATCACACAGTACACCGATCGCCGCAAAGCCCCTCTATTTGAACCACGCATTTTTTTCGATAAAA